ACTCCTGTCGATTCCTGGCAACTTCCGTCCATCTTCTAACCTTTAGAATCTGTATGTCCTCTTCCACATCATCAATCCATCTCCTTCGTGATCTTCCTCTACTTCTTGTGCTCTATGGTAAGTCAAGATATGTGAATTCTTTGATTTACCCAAAGGTGTGGTTGTTAATTTGAATTTTCTATTGGATATTTTGGGGGGTTTTAGAAACCAACATATATTTGGTTTTTTCCTCGAATTACAAGTCCTAATTCATAATCCACAAGCCTTGTCTTTCATACTTTTGTATGATTCAATCAAAATATTCAATATTCAATCAAAATAGTTTATTTTGATTCTAATATTTAATTGTCTGATTGCCCTTTCCAAAGCAATATTAAAGAGGAGAGACGTCAGCGCGTCTCCCTGTCTTAGACCATTATTAATGTCAAAGAACGTACAGTTTTTTCCTTCAGTTCTAACGCATCAGCTTACGTTTTGCATTGTTAGTTGGATCAACTTAATTAACTTAGGTGGGATCCTAAAGTCTATCATTGCATTGTATAATGCAGTTCTTTTCACACTGCCATAGGCTGCTTTAAAGTCAATGAAGAGATGGTGTTTTCCTATGTTATATTCTAGTGAATTTTCTAGAATCTGCCTATGTGTTTGAATTTGATGTTTAGTTGACATTCCAGCAGTAAATCCATATTGATATTAACCAACAATATCCTTTGTAAAATGTTTAAGTCTTTCGAACAATACATTGCCGAAGACTTTATACGCAGATGCTAACAGAGTAATGTCTCTATAGTTTTTACACTTCAGTTGATTACCCTTTTTATGCAACGGACATATTATTCCCTTTAGCTACTATTCTGGTACCAATTCATTTATTAGTTTATGGATTGCTGCGAAAAGTTGATCACCATCTTTTTATACATTTCCTAACAAATCTCATCTCGAGATGATACATCTCATTACTCTAGATGATACGTCTTTGAAAGTTATTCTCATCTTCTGAGATAATGCGCTCAATAATATTAAGATTTAAATGAATTAAAAAGAGATTCGGAAGACTTAAGAGAAAAAGTTCAAAGAGGCTGAAAAAATTAATAATCTACGATGGATGATGTGTCACACACTACATCCTCCGTCGTGGAATCTATTCTACATGATACATGATTTGTTGGTCAGATCTTACTAACTTCATTCAAACCTTCCGCATTAAAATCTGTATCAATAGAATGCTATAACGGTAATTTCAGCAATCCTTCCTCGTCAGACAACTCGCGCTGATACAATGTCTAACTAATGTCTCTAGAATGTTTCACACTGTAGTTGTTAGCGTATATAGATGTCATCTACATATCGATTTCTGTCCTCTGAGCTATCGAAATATGCAAAAGATTTAAACTTTTAGCAAAAGTGGCTATGGCTCCTATGAATTAAAAATCAAATATGTGGCGTTGAAGCACAAATTAGTCAAACCTTTCGCGTTTAAATCGATATGAATACAGTGTTATAATGATTCATTGATACCGATTTAAACACGGAACGTTTGACTAATTTATGTTCCAATATTATATATTTGGTTTTTAATTCATTGGATCAATAGCAAGCTTTTGCTAAAAGTTTTATTCTTTTGTACATTTCGGTAGCCCATTTGGTTCGTTTTCGTTTATGGCTATCAAAGTAGATGGCAACTCTGTACGCTAACCACTGAAGTGGGAAACATTCTGGGGAAATTAGTTGGGCCCTCCAAATTTGAATTTGTATATACCTAACATCAAATATTTAGTTTTTAATTCATTGGAGCAATAGCTGGCTTTTGTTAAAATTTTAATCGTTTTTAATGTTTTTTTACGTAGGTTGGGAGATTTTTGCAGATGTTACGGCAAAATCACATTTGAAATTGTTTATGCTTAATTTACCAGAAGCTCAAATCACATTTAAAGATGTCAAATGTGTTTTTCTACAAACATCTACCAATCTACAGGAAATAAACAATCAAACGAAGAACAGCAATCGAGAACAGGAGTACAACTGTTAATTTAAATACAACATGTACTTCACTGTGATGGGAGAGGGTTTTATCGGCCAAAAGTTGGATAATAAAAAAAAGAATACTGCTACTTTATTCTTTTTTAAAGACGTTTCATATATGGCTCCATACACATCTTTAGTTCATCTAAAATTGGTGCATACATGCATAACGAAAATTGCAAAAGATTTATCTTGGAAAAGATATGCAGCTCAAAAAAGATGGAAGTGAAGTAAAAGCTTAACTTATGAATCATAAAAATTGGAACGTTAAGTCCTTTTATAATAAAAAACAGAAGTAACTCAGTTGTATGTAAAATGTGCAAGGAACATAAGTATAAAAAATGGGGTATACAAACAGAATATTTTCTAACATGGAGGACAGAGTTCTTAAAAGCACTGATACGGTTTACAATAATAAGTTATCAGTTATATTTATTTAACTAGGTTATTAGGTTTTTTCAATCTAAATAAAGATGTTATAGTAGTCATGCACAAAAACGGAGATATAACAGAGCTAAAGAACTATAGACCTATTAGCTTGTTATCTCACGTTTATAAGTTGTTTATGAATATAATAACTAATAGGTTGACATTAAAACTAGACTTCTATCAACCTTACGAGCCAGCGGAATTTAGAGCTGGATACAGAACAATTGATCATTTGCAAACTATTAAGTCGTTAATTGAAAAAACCATTGAATATAATAGACCCCTCATACTTGTCTTTGTCGACTTTGAAAAAACATTTGATACGGTCAATCAAAGTGAAATTCCAAGCTCTAACAATTTAAAATAGATCACCGATACATATCCCTCATCAGATACATCTATCAGCATGCTACAGCCTGTGTAAGACTTAATGAAGATACTGGGACCTTTCGTATTGAAAGAGGCGTTCGGCAAGGAGACAACATGTCTCCTAAATTATTTACAACTTTGCTAGAATACGCTGGTAAAACAATAGATTGGAACGAAAAGGGCATCAATGTAGATGGAACATTTTTAAATAACCTTAAATTTGCAGATGATATCGTTCTTATTGCAGGCAGCTTTGATCAGACACAGATAATGCTCCAAGAACTCCATACTGCCACAAAAAAGTTGGTCTTAAAATAAATTTTTCACACAATTAAACAAAATTTATGACAAATCTAGTCCACAACAGAAACGTCTCAGTAGAAGACAAAGATATTGAGCCAGTTGACTCCTATAAAAACTTGGGTCATGAGATCAGAATAAGTCGAGACAACCAAACAATCGAGCTGAAAAGAAGAATAAACCTCGCTTGGGCTGCATTTGGAAAGATGAAGGCTATTTTTAGGTCTAAGATTCTAATGTGTCTGAAAAGAAAAGTTTTAATCAGTGTCTTTTGCCAGGGATGACCTACGGCGCAGAAACCCTAACACTCACAAGAACAACAGTGAATAGACTACAAGTTGCAGAAAGGGCAATGGAGAGAATAATGTTAGGGATTTCTCTACGTGATAGAATACCCAATGCTACTATACGCAAAAGATCAAGAGTAGCAGACGTTATTGAAAGGATAACAACACTAGTGGAACTGAGCAGGTCATGTAGCAAGATCAGTTGATGACTGGTTAATAAAAAGAATTTTGGAATGGAGACCCCGAATTTAAGCTAACAAAAATAGAGATCGACCTCCAACGAGATGGACAGATGACATAAAAAAAGTGACTACAAATTGGATTCAGATGGCGCAAATTTGAATTAAGTGGAAAAGCATGCGAAAGGCCTATGTTCAGCAGTGGACGTTAGAGGCTAGTTGATGATGTTTCATAAAATTGGATCATAAAATTTGACCTTCCTTTATAAGCCGTTGAATTTTCAGCTCTTAATATTAATCAACAATGGAAATATGATTATAAGAAACAAGAATGCTATCTTGATTCCTATTGGTCTTAAAGGGTTTTTTTTTAAATTGTGCCTTTAAATTTACTTACAAGTACCCTTAACTTACCTAATAAGTACTTAAAAGTTAGCCCTTTTTCAAACGGTTTTTTTAATATTTTAATTATATATTTTTTTAATATATCTTAAACTTGAAGCCTCAAAGAATCAATTGCCATCACTGTTTGGACAAGTACAGTTGTTTAAATAATAGCTCCCCGGAACAAACACATTGAATAACTTATAAACTATTTGGTCGATCCAACTCAGATTTAGGCCAAATCAATAACTCATTAATTACCATAAGTTTAAGTAACTATATTGTATGCTATTATGCAAAAAAAAACAAAGTTATTAACATTTATAAATTCCTGCAAAATACAGGTTTTTTGCAATTATATCGATCAATTCGTTATGTATTTTAATTTAGAAGCTTACAAATTTGGAAACTTTTTAAGATCTATAACTTCTATTTAAACCATTTTTCTCTAAAAATTTATAAGAAACGTTTTATATGCAATAAATAATTTATGATTGTTAAAAAAAACAAAGTAAAATCAGCTGCACGTCTTCAAGAATTTGTTGCCAACTATCCCTCGTATATATTTTAAAACCTTTAAATCCTGTATAAAATTGTTTCACCTTTTTTTCCTTTACTGACCTAAAGTTACTGATGTCATCGGCAGTTAAGGGTTGAGGGCAATCATAATAAATCATGTCGGTCCGCTCGCGCATCCTTTTTAATAACTGCCGCAGTTGAAGGCGAAACATCAGAAATAAACAATTCTAGCTAAATAGTGAACAGTTATTATACGATACTATTAATAATTTCGAGTAGTTTTCTTTGTACTCGAACTTTTTTCCAACTACAAAACATAGTTATTTGTTTATATTTAATTGCTAAATAGGTATTTTAAATTTTACAAATTTACTAAGATCGATATATACATTCTAAAGCACAAAATATTATCAGAAGCAACAAAGTCGTGAATGAATGTGTTAGAATAAATGTTAAACTTAATATTTAATAATAATATATATTTACTATTAACCACTTTTTCTATCTGTAGGATGGGAAGCCTCACGACAGTCGCTTAACTTGGAGCCAACACCTCCAACACTAATCAAAGACGCAGCACAGCAAGGTAAGATCTTTTTTACATTTGGTTTTAATTATATTTTTGAATATTTGATGGTATTTTAATCAATACAATGTTTAAAACGTTACAATACAATACAATATGTAATCGCTACCCAGTCAATTCAAATTAAATTACATAACAGTAGTTCGATTTGATTTAGCGTAGGGGATGATCTAAGGAATCTTAGAAAATTACTAGGATAACAGCTTACAGTTTATACATTTACCAATTTTCAATAAAACATAATAATATAACATAAAATGTTTTCCTAGTATTTTCATAGTGTGTGATGATCTTTAGATCTTTTGACAATATTACAGTGTATTGTATGTATAATAATTTTGGACTGATAAAAATACCCTCTCATACATAACAGCCAACCAGTTCTTTATTTTCAACGTATATTTTCGATAACAAAACTTTTTAATTGTTCATTTAAGTAAAATTTAAAGTACTTAATAGACAATGCATTCCCGCCTCTATACTATAGTGCCCAAATTACTTCATGATACACATTCCAGGATTCTGGAACCATGTACTAGCTTGTACAGGTCTAGTGGTCTACCATTTATGTTTTTCGAGTCACCTGGTACTTTCCAAAAATTGTTTGCTTCCTGCGATCTAATTCCTTGCAAATATGGAAGATATGGTTGACTATTTCAGATTCTCTGCTACAGAGTTTTTAGCTTATGTCACCATGAAACAGTCCCATTGTATGCAGGTGTCCCTTGATTGGCACTTCTCGCTTGTTTTCCACAGTACATTAACTCTATTGTAGCACATTTTGCGTCCACATTTTGCCACATAGTTGACCAAATATATTTTCCCAAAGAGAGTTCGGGAGGTGATGCTTTTTGGCACTCTCGTCGCAAGCTTTGGGTCAAAGTATTTTGTAGCTAATGCTCTTCTGGCTAGTGCATCAGCTCTTTTCTTGTCATATTTCCATATGACCTGAAACCCATACCAGTGTAACACTGTTATATTCCGCCAGTCTGTCGAGTTCCTCACGGTATTCCCGCCATCAACACTAGCCATCCATATGGCTTGAGAGCCCCATGGCTGCTAGCTATCTGTGAATATATTAATTATCTTTAATTCGAAATCTCTTATACTAATTTCTCTTGCACACTGCAAGATTGCAAAAATATCTTTGTCTGAAATACAGAGTATTCTAATAGTAGAATAGAAATGTTTTAAGTGAAAAAGACAGCAAATATTTGATTTCACGCAAACAGCGCCTTTGTATCTGTTGATACGTATTTCGACCTAATAGGTCTCATCAGAACAGTTATTTAAAGGTGTTCTCAACGTGAAAGATCAATATTTTCTGTCTTTTAAGAAGCAACAATAACATGGCTTCGATACGGACGCACTAGCGACATCTAATTTAACAATCGTAAAATAGTTTCGAAACACAATTCAGATTTCTGCTTTTATCTGTGCTTTCTAAAAATTGCAAAGCAAAACAGACGTTGATAAAGGTGTTAAAAGAGACGTGGGGAATCTAAAATTTGCATTCCACGACACATCTTTTCAACTAAGCAGAAATCCTTAGCGAATTGGTTTCTAGTACTCGTACAGAGTAAATCCGAAAAAAGTGAAAAAGACAGCAAATATTTGATTTCACGCAAACAGCGCCTTTGTATCTGTTGATACGTTGATCTTTTAACACCTTTATCAACGTCTGTTTTGCTTTGCAATTTTTAGAAAGCACAGATAAAAGCAGAAATCTGAATTGTGTTTCGAAACTATTTTACGATTGTTAAATTAGATGTCGCTAGTGCGTCCGTATCGAAGCCATGTTATTGTTGCTTCTTAAAAGACAGAAAATATTGATCTTTCACGTTGATAACACCTTTGAATAACTGTTCTGATGAGACCTATTAGGTCGAAATACGTATCAACAGATACAAAGGCGCTGTTTGCGTGAAATCAAATATTTGCTGTCTTTTTCACTTTTTTCGGATTTACTCTGTACGAGTACTAGAAACCAATTCGCTAAGGATTTCTGCTTAGTTGAAAAGATGTGTCGTGGAATGCAAATTTTAGATTCCCCACGTCTCTTTTAACACCTTTATCAACGTCTGTTTTGCTTTGCAATTTTTAGAAAGCACAGATAAAAGCAGAAATCTGAATTGTGTTTCGAAACTATTTTACGATTGAGAAATGTTTTAATTAATAAATTTTCATCAGTATCAAATATTCCTATCTGCCGACTAACTTTAGCCCCTCTTTATACAGGATATAACCCTATAGTTTGAGTCGGCTATTTCCTCGGCCCCCTCCTTCTTGTGGACAAATGTCCATTTGGAAATGTACTTTAGACCTTAACGAAACAATAAACTGCTATAATGTGGGCATAATCTAACTTTGTCGACAGTTAATAGTAAACTAGGTAAATACTTAATTTGATGTTGCATTTTAGCTTGTTGAACGGAATACTTTCAGGTTCTCCTTAAATACGTTTAGGAATTGAATCAACAACATATACTAATATTAAAATGTACAAATTATTATAGTTGTTTAAGTAAAAGTTTGGAAAATTCCACAAAAGATTTTATTATACTTATACTGAATGTTTGAAAATAAGGAACTGGTAAAATTGTTTTGAATATATCTTATTATAAAAATAACATGCAGGTATTTGTAACTCTTTCATCTCACACTAGGAGCACCACCATCAATCGCTAACTTCATTCTCATTTTTCATTTTAATTATTTTTTAACTCGTTTAATTTTTAAGCCAGAGGATGCTCTTTGTGCATTAACAACACAATTTTGAACACACTAACTGCTTAAATTGATTTCCAGCATATAATAACTGCGAATTAACTATTATTATCACGTAAAACTATCTCCCGTCATTTTTTTTAAGAGCTTTTCAGCTTACTTCAGGCAAGTAACCCTATTTCATCAGCTTACAGCCATAACTACTCTTTATCCCGAAGGAATTAACACCGAAGGTTTGCACTACAGCATGCGCATGCGAAAACTATAGTATAAATTTTAAAATGCGTGTAAAATCGTGGTTGTTTTTTTCTTGAATGATTTATTCATTCGGGTTTAATAATGACCCTTTTATGCGAACAAAGAAATTATTATTTCTCTACAATTTTTAAATTGAATACTGAAGGTCTATCGTCACAAGAATATTTACAATATCAATCCATTGTCGTTTATTAGTATTAGTACAGAACATTATACTACAAGTATATATTTAATTTTAGGTTTTAGGTAAGGATGTATAACACATAAACAATTTAAGCATATATTGCTAAAATTAACTTATAGAAATATCAAGAAAATGGGATCTAGAAAAATAATGTATATGCAGACAACAGTGATATTTTTTAACCCCTTAAGGAACCATTTATTTTTCCAAAAACGGTTCCAAAAATCCCTATTTTATTATTAATACACTTGCTTCTTCACTTCTTGAAGAATTCAAAAATGTTATACAATGCTGATTTTTGCATTCGTTCTTATTTTTTTAACGGTTGAAGATATGTATAATAACTACCCCGAGATATCTCGTTGACAGGTTTTTGGTTGGATAAATAAAACCTGCGAGCAAAAGGTTTTCTTGTCTATCTTGCCTATTATATACGTTTTTCATCTAAAAGCCATTCCCAAGAATCTAGACAACAAAAGTTTTTATGCACGCTGTGGATAATGATCAAAAAGTCATCATCATCATCTTGGTGCTACAGCCCTTAGAGGGCCTCGACCTTCTCAAGCTTTCTACGCCATTCTGTTCTGTCCCTTGCTTGAATTTTCCAGTTGCCGAATCCGATCTTCTCCGCATCTTGTGTTACCCCATGATCAAAAAATATTTATTCAGAAAAGCTTACAGTTGCATTGTAGTGTAAAGAACAAGACGTGCATATATACAAAGTCCCACATCCCAATTAGTACCTTGATTCGTACCTCAACTTCTTTCCGGATACATCCTTCACCTTACTGCATATAACACACACTCTAGTTGGATAAGCTTTTTTCACTGTGACAAGAACAACTTCTGGGAAATGTCGACTGGTAAGTCCAAGTGAGTTTGGAAGCTATGAAGGTCTTTCTCTTGACACACCTATATCTTTGCACCAAACCTCAATCAGTTGTGTTATCAAACCCATTCGAAATTCTAGATGCGTTCCTAGCCCTCCCCTTTTCTTGTACAGTACAAAAGCATTCCACTTAGCATAGGTGGAAGAATATTTTTTGTAGTACCTCTTTCCACGCTTCCTGGTTACAGGGTAATTAGCAAGATGTTGATCGACTCTGTCGTATTGTTATTGTCTGGAATATTGCTAGGTTTTCTTATCTTCTTTCGTCGCCTTCCTACAGTACCCATTTCAGCATTATGCAGCGTTGATAGCACACAAACCTCCCGTTTATCTTTTCACTTCATTACTATTGTCTTTCCTTTTTGAAATGCGAAAAAACTTCATTTTTTTGTTTGTTCTTTATTTCTGGTGGTGATATTCTTTCCTTTCTTTGTATTCTAATAGTACCGTACCTCTTCTGTGTGAACTGCTAATAAAAGGCCAGTTAGTTCAGGGGATGTATAAAAAATGTGTGTGGTCAAACAGTGACTTTTCGATAATAGACAATACGTGTTGATGCTGGAAGATCTCTATATTGTTTGACAAACTTTGTATCCTTTCTCTTATAAATTATGTATGCCAAATATATCCGGAGGAGGATTTACTCAGCATGTAGTTCTTTATACCCAATTGTGTTCTTTTGTTTGGAATGTATTGAATTCATCCGAGTCTGCCTTTGTAAAGAAGTAAGCTCTCGTCAATTGTTACATTCTTTTCCAAATCATAAAAAGATTTGTACTTAACATTTAGGTATTCATAAACTTCTTAGATCTTATACAGTTTCGGACTTAAGTTAGTTTTTTGTCGGAAGATTCGTTATTAGAGAAATGCAGGTATTGCTTTATTTTGAGGAAACTATATTTCATGTTCTTACGGAAACACGGCGTTTCAATTATTGTTTTT